CATCGCTGCCTACGCCGACGGCCAGAGGCCCGCGCATCTACATTTTTTCGCCTGACCCCATCAGTGCCGACCCAACTACACCACCACGCGCATGCCTCGCGGCGGATATGCGCAGCAGCAAGAAGGTTTCGGTCATCCCTTGAGGGTGAATCTAGCCCTGCTCGCCAGAAAGACCCCCCCCTTCACTACAACCCATGTCTAAGCAAAAGCTTGTCGAGGAGCGAGGGGAAGAAGGGAGAAGTGGTGGGGGAGTCGAATGAAACTTCCACGTATGTTGGTCTGAGAGGCTGAAGCTAAAGCTTCAGACTTCTCTGAACGTCGATCATGTACACCTTTCCGACTCTTCGGTACATTTTGTAATTCTGGGCGCAACAGCCGGGGTCACACAGGAGCCTTGCAGGAGCTACTTTATTCGTTTTCTTTCCGCGGTGCATGTCTTGACTTTTCACAGGAGAAGGAACCAGCGGTTCCTTCACTCATGGACACGACGTCCAATGTTGTCGTACACGCGAAGTTATCGCGTTCCATGTGATGTTTAAGGAGATGGCCAAGTGCCTCGTGTGAAGTTATCGCGTTCCATAAGATGTTTGAAGAGATGGCCAAGTGCCTCGTGTGAAGCAATTATCCCCATTTCATGTGACTGCACCGAAGTTCGAACCCACGCCCAAAAGCAGCAGGTACGTTCTGAACCACTCAGCCGCCGTATTGCGTGACCTGCATAGTTTTTCGACAGGCTGTTCCATATCGATTAGACTTTTTCAGAGGAGAAACAGTCTACGTGTTGCGACGTAACTTGGTGCCACTGACACGTGCTTTTTTCGCTGTTCTCTGCTCGGGAGTGGTGGAGCTACCCTGAACCGTGAACCAAGCACACAAGAGCCAAAGTCTGGTAGTATTACAGAGTAGGTTTCTACTACCTTAGCTCCGGTTCTGCGGACAAGGTCTGGACTGCTGTTGCACTTGGAAGAATGCCACCTTGGTCTCTTTGACTCAATGTAACCTACAGTAGCGGGTGCGACCAGCTCGCGGGCAAATCCACCGGAGACGTCGGTGTAACCCCATCCGTGATGGCCAAGCCTTTCTATCATTGCAGGTGACTACCCCTCCAGTTGAAGTCAATGCGGAAAAGGCTGGGACAAGGATGATGTTCGGAAATCGCCGCACACGTCGTAAATAGTTGAGTTACCTCCCCCGTGAAACATACTTGATCTGGACCGCGGGGAACGTAACCTCTAATACTTCTCCACATCGCGTCACCAACGGATATCGCCCACAAAAGCCCCTGCACAATGGTTCGGGGGTCAGGCAACGACTTGTGACGCGAAGGGTCTAGACTAGCCCATGGCTTCCCATCTTGGAATAGACATTGCTGTGGCCCCAGGCGAGTCCATGTGACAAATGTCATGCATGCTATGATAGGAGACGATCGTAACCGTTACGAAATGCTTCCCGCAGATCTGAAATAGCTGTAGGATGTCTTGCGGCCTGCTCGGAATGGCCAATGGTATCACAGTGAGGTGAATGAGTAGGCTAGGTGACAATAGACGAATGTGTATGGCCGTGAGCGGTTGCTAATGTTGTGAAAAACTTGCGGCCTCTGCGTTCACTTGTCGCACGATGAACCGTGTCAACGTACACAAATTTACGAGAAGGAGGGAGAATGTAGTCGAAGCGGACATGGGGGAGGAAAAACACACGTATGTGCCAGTGCAGTGATTGATACAATGCGAGCTTGAAACAGCAATGCCCACGAAGTCAAGGTGGCCCACCTCTTGCTTAGACTAAAAAGAAATATCATTAGACGCTAGGTCAATCAACACGACCTAGGGAAGATTTCATTCCTTATTGCGTTTGAGGTCCAGTGAATAAACTGCGATTGTCATTGGTGGTGAGTGGAGTTTGTCTCGTAAAATATGATGCGATTCTTCAGCCGATCTCATTCATGAACATGTAAGACGAACACCATAGACATGAGTATCTTGGTCTTGGATCAAACCGAACGACAACAGCGCACTTGCTCCACTCACCATGTGACGTTGCGACAGAAGCTACTCCTGAGGGCCTCAACAGATCGAACCAACAGAACGATGCTTCCACGAGCGTGTGAGCGTATGATGTTCTGGAAACGAAAATTGAAACGACTTCGTCAGTGAAGATCAAAGACACACCACCAGCCGAATATGCATGTTGCATATCTCGCACAAACTTCAAGGCGAATCTGTCAAGGAGCACTCAGCAGGAACACCCTCTGACGCTGCTCAAAAATCAAGTGGATGGCCACAAATTGGTGCTCTGCCCCTACGCCATGCGACTATGCCGTGCACCACCATACGCCCTTGGGGGCATGTTCTCAATGAAAAGGTGTTCTAGATCAAGCGATCCCGGGAATGCCAAACGTGCCGAAAACTTTCACTAAATCGGCTTCAAACGACAACGAACCAACGGCATTGGATAGTGGACAACGAGGATGAGCAGCGAAACGTGCCACCAGCGTACCAGACGAAAAACAGGACTCCTTGGAAACAGTACTAAAGCGTATTGTGTGCACAACTTCATGTAGTCAGTGCTCCCGGATCCCATCAATAGTTGGTGTGCAAGATGCGGGTTGGCGACAGCGTGAAGCCAACCGAGGGTGAAACGCCACTCACCACCCGCACCGTCAGTTGAATTTCCCACAGCATTTCAACAACATGTGTTAGACCATCAGCATCTCTCAAAGTACTTTGAATCCTAGAGGGCAATCCAGGTGGACACTGCAAAGGGCAACACAGGCGCGGAACTCAGTAAAACAAAACTTCCAAGGTAAATGCGTGAGAACGCTGAAAATCTCCGGTAGTCGGTTTGCCGTCACCTCGAGATTTATTCAGCTAGCGTACACTCCCTTTCACGTGGTGGGCTGTGTTCGAGTTCTAGGCAACGTGCTGTGACCGCACAACAACAGCAGCGAGTCATATCACCCGCCAATCACGTGCACTCCCTGGTCCTGAAAATGTGCTCTGTCCCGAATTTGTCCCGCGTCCATTTCGTTCCACCTTTGAATTGATCACGACTTTCAATCGCTGCGTAGTGACTCGCACGGTGATTGCCGGAGTCAACAGCACGCCTAAAATGCCGGGCGCGTCCAACCGCCGGGGCCAACAGTCGCACCTGCGTCGCGAGTCTGTGCTAGTGTGGGAGCGGGGTTCAGGCGGGGGCGTTTGTGGGGAAAAGCAGGGGGAATGCCGCTGCTGCTGCTCCTGCTGCTCCTGCTCCTGCTGCTGCTGACGCCGCCGCCGCCGCCATTGCAACCTCTCGCTCCTTCAGCGTGGAGCGAATGGGTACGCGCAAGGCCAACCTCCTCCATGTCGGTGCCACTCGTGCTGCCCATGCCATTCATCGTGTCGCTTGTGGTAGCAGAACCACAATCCGACTGTCCAGCCGCAAGGTGCACTTGCTCCTCTCGGCTCGGCATCCTGTCGGCGAGCCTGTCAATCGCACTTGATGAAATGCGGCGAGAGGCACGACCAATCCCACCGTCGACTTCAGCGCTATCAGACGGCTGTCGACAGTTGAATTTCATTCGGCTCATGGTGGAGGAGTCGACTATTCTGGTTCCGGCAAGAGGACCGCCACCACCGCTGGCAGCGGTAGCATCACTTGTGGCTCTGCGAGGGGAATGGTTGAGCGCAGCGCGCCGCTCGCCCTGATTGATGATGGCAATTGACTCGGTGGAAGAGGCGGATGCTTCACTCTCTTCCCGCGAGTGGTGTCCAGTTGATTCTAGGTCGTGATGTTCGCCGATCATGCCCTGTTATGTGTGAGTGTTTCAGAACAACAGCATGTGAGCAAACGGTACACTGAAGAATGTCTTCCGCTACGACACGGTCCACAAGCACGGGCGTTTCCTCCCTGCATCAAGTCGGACGCAGGGTTTGCAGCAAGCCAACGGTTGACACATACAGAAACGCCGATGCCTGAGTCAATAGTTCACTGATTCTTGCTTGCTGCCAACGAGCAGAGTCCTCGAGAGGGTTGACGAGACTTAGTACGCAAACCACCCACCGTGCACACACGGTCGCGCTGCTCAAGCTCGGCAGTCAGCGGGGTCTCTTCCTCCGCGCCGCTGGGTTCACCTCTGAGCGCCGCCAGTAGCTGCGTCTGCAAGGCATCGGTGGCCTTCCTCACTCGCAAGCTGAACTTTGTGAGACCTTCTTTGATCTCGTTTTCTCCCTTGAGCATTCTTGCCTGAAGGCGCCGACCCAAAAACGCATTCGTAGCATAGCTTCGCTAAAAACTTCACAGACTATTCTGTATTTGGTCTCCTTCAATGATTGTTCTGAGAATATATTTGTCAAGAGGAATCCCCTTTGGGGGCAGTTGGGTTGTCACCACGGTAGGCGTCCACGTCATTTGCACGAGGTACTGAGCAGAGACTGAAATGGCTTTTTTTTATTACAACACAAAACACAAGCTGTTTCAATAGCAGTCCTGAAAGAGTAGACATTTTCCCGCCACGCGTTGTGATCTATGTCGGTTTTGTCTGGGTAGTCCGTCGTCCACATATTATCCACGAATGTTTCGCACAATACAACGCGTGCGTGAAAAAATGAGCTAGTCTAGGATCTGCCCTGACATGTGAGGGTAGGGTTAGCTTAGGAGGACAATTTGTCAAGGGACGTATCGTGGAAGTAGGGCGAGTCAGGGAAAAGGAGCTGATGAAAATGGTGTGACTGACGCCACAAACGACGCCAACGGACCGTAAATCGACGCGAGTCGTCTAGTCCTTCACAGCTCACAGGTTGTCTCATCGAAAGTGAGAAAGTAGCAAAGATTGCCGCACGTAAAATGCCATCTGGTTTCTGCTTCGGGTTGGACAGGACCGACAACAAAGGATCCAACCGGCGCAAGCACATAAATTGACAACAGAGGGCATCCATCACCGAGGTTTTCGTGAAACATCGCATGTATGGCACAAGCCAAAACCTTTGTACCCCTTGAGATTACCTTCATGGACAACATATCTGCGTGTACGAGGCATTAGGGGTTCGTCACGTGCGCCCGCGCGGCCAAATACATTTTCCAGAGCACCCTTGCCAGTACGTGTATGAATGCACCTGCTCTGCCTCCACCTCCTTGATGGCGCTGCTTGCGGTCATGTAGGAATTGGTGATTTTTTGGAATCCGTCCCCGACCTTCTTCCGGATGATGGCCTCCCTCTTCCGCTGGTCCCGCACAACAGCTAGCTCTTCTTCTGGAAGGCTTCCATCTTCACCGCTGCTCATGTCTTTGGCACCCTCCGTCGCCTCCATGTCGCCTTCGCCACCCTTTCGATCAGCTCCGGATGACCTCGAGTCAACACGGCCACTGCTAGCCCTGCCATCCTCCATCTCGTTCAGGCGATTCGCAGGCCCGTCGGCGGCGAAGGCGGATGTTGCCTGGTTGTCGGACTTTTCGAACGAACAGGAACCGATCGGGTCGGAGCTGTCGGTGGCGCCGGCACCGGTGCGGTCTCCGCCGGCGCAGCAGTCGCTGGTCCGGCCGGAGCGACCGCTCTTGGACGTGCTCTCATCATCGTTGGCATAGTCAGAAACACCATCATCACTGTGTTCCTCCGCGTCGAGTCGCGCCTCACCAGAACCCGGAAGCCCACATGTCTCCTGCTGGTGTTGCTGGTTGTCATCCTCTGGTTCCTGAAGCCTTTCCCGACATGACCTCAGTGGGGACTGTTCCTGCGTCTGCTGATCGAACATTTCGTTCTCGTCCGACGCCCGCGGAGGGGGTTGTTGGGTGGCCTGCTCATAGATGGCATCCCCCCGTGACAGATGCGACGGTTCTTGCGTATCCACTCTGATAACGCTGTCGCCTGGGGGCTCCATAGGACCGCATGCACGTGCTCCCTCGACCGCCCGGGGTTCCTGCTGCTGCTGCTGCTGCTGCTGCTGCCTCTTTGCTTCTTCGGCGTGCTCGGGGTGTTGGGATGCACGGAGTTGGTGTGATTGCAGACTACTGCTTCCGCTGCTGCCACCGTTGCTGCCGCTGCTGCTGCTGCCTCCACCCGTGGCGTCACCGTTCGAACGTCCGGTAACTCCCGAGTGCATGCTCTGTTCCCTCTCATGCTGCTCTTCTCCGCCGTCCACAGTCGTTTCCTCCTCTTCCTGCTCAAACCGAGAGTACCCTGCGCTGTGGTCACGCAGGTTGCCTTCACCGACTTCAGCACTCTCGCTTTCATCCTCCGATTCTGTTCCGGTGTAGCCACTGTTGAAGAATTCGTCTCGGGTCTCCGCGCCCTCCTCGCGGTCACTACCCTGCGAGTCGTCCTTCTTTGCGCACAAACGGTTGCGAAAGTCATGATTTCCGCCGAGAGTACGGCCGGAAGGGCCCTCAGAAGCTGAACGTCGCTCGGGGTGGAAAGGGTTCGTGCCGCCAGGATTCCCACCGTGATCCCCGCCGACGAAGCTTTCCAGAGCACCGCTCGAATCCGGAGGTTGGCCGGCCGTATGGTGGCGTAGTGGAGCACAGTAGTCCGTCATTGCTGCAGATTCTATCCGTGCAGTGACTGGTGACGATGTCGCTACCTACGTCGAAGTTGTCGCGTATGGTCACCTAGATGTTTCGAGTCAGAGCCGATGGGTACGGTCTCGATCGATTTTTTGTTGATAATCGCGATTCTTGTCTACGCATAGATGTAGATGCTTATTTTGCTTTCCGCTGTTATGGCGCCGCTGCGTTGTCCCGTAGGCAGCAACGTTCGCCCTGCTTTCATTGCGGCCGAGAGAAAAGTGTTGCCTCATTTAATTAGAATGTTGCGGTGGCCGGGAGTGCGTAAGAAGGAACGACGGGAAACAAAAGACGCAGTTTCGTCCCATCCATTTTTGGCGTAAGTCTATACCTCTCGGTGTACGTGTAGTCTACGGCGTTTTAGTTTAGCCGCGTGAGTGAATTCAAAAATTCCAACTCACACCAGGTGGAAGGAATTGCTCAACACGGCTGGGCATTAGCACGAGCATTGCTTTGGTATAGCTACGTGGGTGTCTTGCGCCTCGTTAATGGTAGGAAGAAGCAACATTTTCACCCCACTAAACAGGGTTAGAGAGCCTGTGCAGACAGGGCAGGGCTCTCTCTCCCAATGACACAGTACGGTGACACCACAGGTGCATGGAACAAGCGGCCCACATTGTGAAACACATGATGTATGTCAGCCAGGACCCAAGGTGAACAGAATGCGGATGCTCTTTCTTTGCGGCCCACTTCTTGGAGCTTACACCTTTAAATAACTATTCGCCACACTCTTTGACTCTCTCTTGAGTTCCATGGAAAACAGCAGGTTGTCCGTGTACGGAACTGCACCGCAGCAGTATGAGTCTACAGCAGCTCAACTTGGTTTATTTGGTGCCAAACTACACAAAGACGTACACTAATAGTCTAAATAGTCGTTCGGGACTCGCCCATCACCGGTATCGCTCACCGCTTTTGGTTCTCGTGCCCGTGTTGTTTGGCTGTAGCTGAGTCCTTGTGCGACCGCTGCTCTCCTCTGGGCGCTCTCTGACCACGCCACCTGCGGGTCCAAAACATGGTTGAACAGGGTGGTTATTGTTTTGGAACTCCCTAAACTCGCCGCTCTTTAGCAATCCGCTGAGCCCCCGTCGCGCATCCTCCCGCGATGGCTCCAGGCTGGCTCGCCAGCAGAAAATGTAATGTTCACATTGCACACCATCACATGCGTGTGCCATTGAAACACCACACACACGCAGCAGGCACTTGAAGGAAGGAGCGCTGTGCATGCGGTGCGGGAAAGCGGGCGTGAGGGCACACCGATGGACATACCGCTTCGGGGCGAGGATGTTGGACATTGCAGCTTGCGGAGATACGCCCTCGACAAGGTGAAGGTTGAAGATTGTCACTAGGAAACAACCGTTCGTACATGGAGGCACCGATAGATGCTGCTGAGGCGCCCTACACATGCTTGCTGGGTGAGTAGCTCTCGGTCACACGTGCGGCCATTGACAGCACGTGAACCCGTTGCTACTGTAGCACAAATCTGCATGCTGGCAGCATCGATTGTCTGTGTTCATGGGTCATGGCCCGCTGGTGTGGGTGGACTCACCAGGATTTCAATGGATTTTGGTGATGCCTTCAGTCCCCTCAAGCCGTAGTCACAGCACAGCATTGCTGTCGCTGCAAAGCACGCATTGAATGGGAAGGGAGAGCGTAGGTGAGATGTCTCCAATCGCCCCCATCATGGACGGCGTTGTCATGGGTCGAAGAAAATAGAAAGTTGCTGCTCATGCCCATCCAGTGTACCCCCTGGGCTGCTTTGCGCGCTTTGTGTCTGTCCCGTGCGCAGCGCATGCATGCCGCCACGCTGTCCCCCATGTTCTGCCAACGCTACCGTGGCTTGGAATGGGCACACTGTTGCAGTGTAAGCTCTCGCCTTGTATCGGGGTCCGCCACGAAACACTTTGGTTTTTTTGAACGGTTCGTTCCCATTTTCGGTGATCTGAACTCCGTTTTCTCTCCTGGGACCAGTACTACTGTAGATTCGGACTGTTGCTGTGACGTTCATGACCAGGCGTCGTCCCCTCCCCGCCAATATTTGGCTCTTCTCACCTGCGGCCTACACCCCACACACCCCCATCGTTTCATTTTTCCCTGTTGTGCAGGTGTGCTCGTGTCTGGCGTCAGCCTACCCCGATGTCCGGGCGGCCCTCTTCTCGAGACTCTGCGGTTCTGGTCCGCCGGCCCCCTCCCACCCGTACTCCTCCTCTGGCGGGGCCGCGACAACATCCCCAGCCGCCGCCACCGCCCCGGCCCTCGCTGCTGTTCCCCCCCCAGGCGACGAAGGTTCTGTCGGCATCCCATCGTCCATCGGCGACAGTATCATTACCAGGACTGGAGAGATGGGCCGTCAGACGTCGAGCGGCATTCTAGACCTGTTGTGCTGGTGTACGCCAAGAGTCTTGGACCTGGAAGGGGTGTCTCCTGCGGTTACCGACTCGTTGCTACTCAGGTACATATGTTTATGTGCGAGTGGTTTTGTTTACGACCATGTACGCGGTCTTGAACGAAAGCGGAAGTGGTGCTCGCGTGTGTAACGTCATGGGGGGGGGGGGGTACTCATGGTCGTGCATGCCGTCTCGTTAGACCATTGACCTCGCATCCCTACAAAGCCGGGACGGAGCACGCCGGGTTCTCAACGGACCAGGCTCGCACATCACCAAGCGCGAAGCGCCGTGAGGTATTCGGCGAGTCGCATGAAGGGTGCGCTGCATCCTGCTAAGGGTGTTCGGCATCTTGTGCTTACTTCCTTGCGTACGGATGACAGCTGCGTATGACTTAGTTTAGTTTCTGGTGCTTTCACTTCCAGAGACAATTGTAAGCACTGTGTAACTGCCTCGAGGATGCTTGACCATTTTCACACAACGTGGTGCGATCATCCCCCTTGCGCAGAGTGAGGATTGTCCACCCCTCACAACATGATCTACTCGACCACCATTATGGTTACCACCAAAAAAAAACAGAGGTAAAAAAAAGCACGGTAACCTGGTTGCCGAGTTCACGAAGTGAATTGGCTTGTTTTACAACGTCGTTGCCAAGCGACGAAAACCCAACCCCGATGGCAAACACCGGGGGGGAGAGTGCAACGTCATGCGAGGGTGCAATTCGTGGCTTGTCTCGATGAATTCTTCGCCGGATTGCAGGGAGGACAACAATCACGACCAGGCCAGCAGGCTACTTTTTGGCTTTGGCTTTCCCTTGGCTCAGCCCCAGGAACGGTAGCCACCCTCTCGCCATCTACCCCCGCACCCACGCGTAGCATTTTTTTTCACGCCTGGGCGCCGCATTATCGCACCACCTCTCATGCTCGTGAAAGGTACCCAGGAGAGTCGTGCGCGATGCTGGAGGAAGTGCGTCTGGGCTGGTGCCCTCACCTGCTGGAGGTGGAAGCGCTTCTGCTCAAGATCAGGAACGCTGGCGTCGATGGGCAGGTGCAGCAGCTGGGGAGGGATCCTTGACCTCTCATGGTGGTGAATCTTTTTCCGTGCACACCCCGGAAGGCGTCTGGAGCGGGTGTCGGGGTTAGGGCCGGAGGAGTTCGCCCGAACGATTTTGCTCAAGCGCGTGGTGGACGATGACGGGTGTCCCATGGTCAAAGCGTTACCTCGCTTATAATACCCTTGTATCTGTGTCTATCTCCAAGCTCGTGGAATGCCTACGATTGTTGCGCCGACGGCCAGAGAATTCGTCGTCAAATGTCATGCCCTCTAGGAACACTTGCAGAATTGGGGAATACAGTCTTCTTCAACAGGATAGGAACTCCTTTGGTATTGAGATGAGGAGACTCGATTGGTGTGACAGAAACTTTGTTGAAGGTACATGGTTCCGAAGTCCGTTCGAGGCAACAAGCGAAGGAATCGAGATCAGTCAAGTCTGTTTTTTTTTGCACAAGAAATGAAGGATTGAGGAGTCTGTGAATATTGGCGTAATCCTTCCGGGGGTACCAACGGTTCATACTCTCAAGAACGACACAGGCTTAACCGTCAAGGATGCTGGAGGTCGGTGATATATACAATTTAACATTTTACGAGGTCGCTGCTACTTCACTCAAACTCTCCGATCGTGCTTACACCTAACCTACGAAGGTGGCATGGCATCCCCTCAGTAATCGATCTCTGCGGTTCGACATCTCCTTGCTTGTTGCCGCTCAGGAAGACGAGGCTTGCGCTTTGAGAGTTCTGGACGTTAGCGGCAGCGAGGGAATTTCCGACGGCATCCTGAAGGTGAAGCGAGTTCTTCTTGGAGGGGCCGTCACGGTCGGATGCTCTGAACACGTACATACGGTCAACCTGAAGAATATTGAGAGACGGGTAACACGGCG